TCTTGGAGAGGTGCCACCACCGACCCAGACGGTGGCGCTGTCCCTCCCAGGCCCGGGGAGCCTGGGTCACCCTTCCAAGCGGCGGTTCTGTGCTTCATGCAGCTCGGGGGTCTGGTGTCCGGGAGAAAGTCTTCCTGCCTCTGGAACTAGGGAGCCCTACCTGTGTTCTAGAATCTTCTACCCTCATCACCCACTGACGTGGTTCTGCGGGATCGGTTTTCCTCATCCATCGCTCCCTCGCTGGACGGTTCCCGGTTGCACCAGGAGCTCCTGTGTTCCCCAACTTAGCCCAACCCCCCCCCACACACACACGCTGCCTCACCTCGCTAACTTCTAAAAACAACTGTGGGTGCTGGGTGTCTCCGCCCCACGCTGCTTCCTCTCCGGGCACCTCAGTTGTCATGTGCTCGCCCAGAACGTCGCACTGCACACCCCTGCACCCCACAGCCTCACCACATATCCCGTGGCCCAGGCCGCCCGCGCTGGGGCTCCCGGCACAAAGCTAGAAGTTTCCTCCCCACACTTCTCACTCTCTCTCCGCTGACATTCAGCCCATCTGCAGCTCTGGCGGCCCTGTCCCAACGTGCTCGGTCTCTTCACTGTCACGCCCGCCACCCTGTCACGGAGGACCCCTCGCCACCCCTCGCCACACCTGTTCCATGACTCCTCACACAGTATCACATCACGTGACGCCTCTGCTCGACACCTCCCAACGGTTCCCTGTCTCACGAGGAGGAGCCAGTGTCTTCACTGTAGCCTATGAGGCCCCACACCACCTGGTCTCAGCCTGCCCCTTGTCCTTAGCTCACCATGCCCCGGCCACACTAGCCCTTCTGTTCCTTAAACATTCTCGTCATTCAGAGCTCAGCTCCAATGTCACCTCTTCCGAGAAGCCTTCCCTGACCACCACCTCTTCAAAGCAGCCCCACGTACGTTTCCTGTTTGTCCGACCACCCTGCCCCAGACATCCACACGGGACGGCGAACTTCCCGAGGGCAGCGGCTTAGGTCTCATCTCGTTCGCTGGCGCAGTCTCGCTGGAGCAGCTGCTCTGCAAACACCTGCCCGTTTTCCTTTTCGTCGTGGCTGCTGTGAGGCCTTGCCCGCTGCGAAGCTCAGCCAGCCATAGCAACGCCCGTTAGACGGCACGCCAGGAGGCCGGCTGCCACCACTGTCCCTCCGAAACACCCCCACATCACCCAGCCCTCGTACTCTGCACCTTGTTCTAAGGGATCCGTTGTGCGTGTGCCACACACGCTTTTTCGAAGGGTATAAGCAGGACATAAAATGCTTCTTTGCGCCGCTAAGCGCTTCCAATGCTCCACAAAAACCAAAGAGCCAGGGTCCCTGCTTTTGAAAACTATTATCTGTGATGAAACCGCACTGTAACTTAAAGAAGCTGAGCAGGCCTGGGCCAGGAAGTCTGGCTGCTTCTCCCTCTCTGTGGAATTAGGGCAGGAGGACAAAGGCCCATCTTCACCACGTCCATTATCTCTCAGCTATCAAAGGGCAGTGATGCCCAGGCTGGCCCGCTAGCAACAACAGGACATGATCACAAGGCGGCATTATACCTCTCATATCTACATGGCCTTCATCCTTCAAAAAGCAGTTTCTACACATCGTTCGACTTGATCTTAAACGGAACACTGTGTGTTAGGGCGGAGCTGATTTTTCCCATGGAGCAGGTGGGGAAACTGAGGCACGAAGACGGAGCGAATCGCCTCAAGTCATCCAATCATTTAGCAACAGAACCACGATTGAGACCCGACTTGCCACTTCAACCCCGCGCTCACCTTTCTCGTAGGTGGCCCCCCACCCAGAGATCCAGCAGGGCTGCGTGGGCTCCAGCATCAGGCCCGGGTTGGGCAGACACACAGGTTTCACTTTGTCTGTTTCAAGAAAAAAACCACCGTGAGTGAGTCTGGGGGCCGGAAGGCCCCCGGTGACAGTCCCTAGCTGGACCATCCCCCAGCGTTCACTGCTGAGTCTGTAACCACCTCTCTGCCGCCCAAGGACAACTCTAACTTCCAACGGGTCCTGGCACCCCCACTTTCTGTCCCCGCCAGCCCCTTCTTCCAACAGGAAAGACAGTCCCTGCAGAAGGCATGCGACTTAGAAATGGAATTATTTGCTAGCTCTGTTTCCAAAAATACACAATTAACTTGTCTTCAAACTTAAGTGTTCAAGAAATAGAAATTAAAAATACACGGTGTCTCCAGCTGACAGAGGGTAGAAAAGACACACTTGTGGCAGTGGCCAAAAAGCTGACAGGCAGGGAGGTGCTGGAGGCCACCATCCACGGACTGGCTTTCTACTTTCTACCTCTGCACCTGGAGCGGGGCATGTGCTTTTGCGGCTTCTGCAGGCAGGTGGGGTGGAGCACGCTGGGTCCCTGGGTGCAGAAGCACAGGGCCGGAATAAGAAGCTAAGGGAAAGCCTGCCGTTCTTATAGCTTTAAGTCATTATTTTAAAGAATTTTTTACTTTCAGAGTTTATGTGAAAAATCGAAGTATCTTTACTAATTATGCAACCAGCAGTTGTCAACTGGACGTGATTTTGTCCCCAGGGGACGTCTGGAGACATCTTTGCTTGTCACAACTAGGGGGGTAGCTCCTGGCATCTGGACAGCCCCACCACGAGGAATGACCCGGCCCCAGGCCTCAGCAGTGCCTTCACCTGACGGGTGAACGACCCCCTACACGGCGTAGAAGGGCGAGGCGGGGGTGGGGTTCCGTCTCCCTCAGCACCAGGCACATCCGGGGCGTCCAACCCCTGCCGAGCGCCCCTGCCAAGCGAACCCCCCGCCCCTCGCCCCGCCTACGCCACCCTGACGCAACGCGGGTCCCCTCCCTCCGTGCATCGCGACAGGGTCCGCTTCCAGCCACCCTCCCCCACCGGCGGGCCCGGCTGCGAACGCGGGTACCGGTAAAAGTCAGGGGCGCCTGCAGCTTCATGAGCGCGATGTCGTTGTTCTTGGTGTTGGAGTCATAATTTGGGTGAGAGATCACTTTTTCTACCCGGTAGCCACTGCCGTAGAACATGAAGGATTGCCGCAGAATGCCGGCGAAGGCCGTCCAGTACCGCGGGTTGTTCAGAGGTCTGGGAGACAAGCATGGGCGCGCTGGGTGGCCGGAGTCACCGACGCCGAGCGCCCCTGTGGCGACCTCCCTGGGGTGGCACGGCTGGCCCACGGTCGCGGAGGGGAGGCCCGCACTCCTGCCCTCGCTCCGCCCCCGCCTCGCCTCCTAGGTGAGTCTGCGCCTCCGGGACCCGCCGCCCCCGCCACACCCCGGCGATTCACTGGGCCCCAATGTCTCTCTGAGGGTTTAAACCCGGCTTCTGGGAGGGCTGAGTCTTAACTATCTTTCCATGCTGGGGCATTTCCCCGCACACAGTAGCTGCTTAATAAATGTGATGAATAAACGTGCAGTGACTCCAAGTCACCAGCCATCAAGGCATCACCTGTATCTGGGGGTTTCCCTTTAAGCACACCCCAAATTCTAGCAAGCCCGCAGAGTGATGGGGGGTGGGGGTGGAGGGGAGGAACGAGCCCTGGTCATAAACGCTGCTTCCTTCCACCTGCACAAGGCCCTTGGGAAGAGCAGGCACCTGTCTTAGGGTACAGACACCCCAGTCAGACACCTCTGGTGAACTGTCCAGAGCCCACACAGCTCAGCCGGGCCTGGCCTCACTCTAAACTAGAAAAATAGCGCTGGTGAGTGGAGTTTCCGCCAAAATAGACACGCAACAAAAAGAACTCTGTGTTTAAGAACAAAGGAAGGGGACGGTGTCTTTGACAAAAGCTCTTGCTATAAATTGTGCGCACCCTCGCTCTCTCTACCCGTCGGCGTGGGAGACGCTGTGGCCACGGGGTACTTCCAGCCGGGCACTGTGAGGCCCCCGAGCATGTCTGAGTGTGCGCACTCCAGAGACAAACATCTAAGGGAGACCGGAGCTCCCAAGAGGGTGGCAGAGGACAGTGACATCCTGGTCCCACTCTGCATCCCTGTGCAGTGGACGCCAGTGCACGCCTGCTGGAGGGACGGGCTTGGCCACGTGCCTCACGTGCACTAACTCACCTGACCCTCCCAGCGACGCCAGGACACGGGCGCCATTAGAATCCTCGCTTACACAGGAGCAACAGAGCTCGAAGAGGTCAAGACTTCGCTCAAGGTCACATGGCCACGGAGCCACCTCCCACCCCAGGAGCCCTGGTCCCGCCGTGAACGTACTCCTCCACGCAGTGGGCGGCTGTCACTATCCAGTCGGGGGTGATGATGGACCCTCCGCAGACGTGGGTGCCCTGGACATGTAGGCTGACCTGCCAGGGCCAGTCCCCCGAGGCAGCGTTCGTCCCGCCCACGATCCGACTCTGGCGGCTCAGGCCCATCTTGGCGGTGACCCCGCATTCTGCAAGCAACAAGCACAGTGCGGTCAGGGCCACCCTGCACCTCCCCGACCCCTGCCCGCACTGCGTGTGCCAGGACAGCTCCCGTCCCAAAGGTCCCGCCGGGCTAGCAGACAACTATCGCCACCTCTTACTCCTGTGTGCTTGGGGTGTGACTTTTAGAGAATGTGTCCTAGTCTCTTTTTGGTTGGGGGGGATGAGAGGACGCCCCTCAAGCCCCCTTGATGCCCCCCAAGGAAGAGCCAGTTCTGCTGACACTGTGATTCCAGACACCCCACTGGGGGTCGCGGCTAACAAAGGCCCTGGATGTCCTGGAGTCCTAGAGGGACTGAATGCTCAGAGGCCCACAATTCCGACAAAGCCAGGGAGGGCTTCCTGGTGTGGGCGGGGGTGGAGGGGGCACA